CGCGGGGGTGCCTTAAAAATTGACTGAGCTATGTCTGCCTATGTGGATCCTGCTCGCGACCTATCCGCGACTCTATCCGATACGGAAATAAAGACGTTGCTCGGCTCGACGACCTAACCGCTATTGTGTTCTGAGAGTCTGGAACATCTACGGAACTTTTAGACGATCCGTAACTCTGGTATCAATTTTACATGTACGGATCGTGAGGTCTGAACGAAATTAGACGGTACGGTGGTTACCATTTGTGGTAGCAAATTAACCTTCAAGACGTACTCCATCTACTCTCACTGGTACTATGTGGATCTTCAGCGCCTACCCGACGATGTTTTGGATGGGCTCTTTCTACGGTTGGTTCGCCAAACAAGACACTTCGCCGGTGTATATTACTCCGGCCCATGTAATTAAAGGTCTTTGTTCACGCAACCGCCGGGTGAACTTAAATTAAAAGTATCTCTCATCATCGGTCATGTTCGATCAAAGAACCCCGCTTCGTCACATCCAGTTTGCTGGTTAAGGCTTTTCGGTGGTGCAGCATCGTCTAGGACCATACAACCGGACCATTCCTCCCTTTATCGAGGCCCTCCGGACTACGAAAGATTCGGCAAAAAGGCGGCGGCCACTACGGATTTGTATATATCGGACTAAAAGTCTCCGGCTTCGGCTGTTGAGACCAGTGCGCTAATATGCTACGACGGCTGATGTTTTGGATGACATCCCTCCGCCTTCGACGACGAAAGTGATGCAGGCGATAACATCATTATGGCTGATGCTTCCGGCTTTAATGGTGAGCTACATAGCGGGGATCCCTCGGACTCGGATTCAAGTCATTCTGATGCTATGTACGATAAAACGTTGGCTATTGCGGTAGACCCTACGTCCATATGGCCTGCCGTAAAGGCGCCCCAATTTCTGGTAGTAGCTATTGACTCAGAGGCCTACACCCTTGACCATTTTTAGCGGGCTAAGTGTTTGGACTTTAACTCTATTACGACTCCGGGACCGCAACGTCCTGCGCCATTCACCACAAGTGGAGTCTTCTTAGATGCCATGATGCAAGGAGTTAAATCGATGGGCTGGCATGACCGCCAAACGGGATCGTATCCCGTTTATCGACCGTAGGAGGATCTGTCCTCCTAATTCCAGCACGGAAACTATCCGTGCTGAGGAAGAGTTCTCCACCGATGTGTTTTTCAAATATCGGTGGTAGAACGGCCACCGTGGTCGGGCCTTGGCTCAAGGATGGAATGCCTTAATACATAGCATCGAGTGCATTGACTGTGAGGCCTGGCTCGGTAATCCTGATGCTCGCAAGCTCGCAACAGATTTGAGAGGAGCAACCCAGTCGGTGTACGATACAAGTTGCACCAACTGTCAAGAGAGGGAGGATTACCCTGTCTCTTGGGTTGACTCGTGCCTAAGTTGCCTGGACAACTCGAACCGTGCATCTAGATCGGCCTACCTCCCTAATGATCCCTACTGGAGGGTGCGCATCTCTTCCGAGATGGCCGAAGAGATTGATACTTTGCAATCCCCGCACTCGCGTTTGGGGAGGTCGTTTTCCGACGGCCCAGGTTCGAACGCAGCGGGTGGGTCTCGTCATATTACTCGACGAGACCCAGAACATCAACGATCAGCTGAGCACGAGGCTCCCAGCTGTCCAAGGCCGGTGGGTAGCCACGCCAGCGGACGAGGTAACTCGTCCGGACGCCTTTCACATCGCGGTGGTTCAAAATATGCTCCACTAGGAACCGTTGACCACCGCCAGAGTCCACAAAAGGATGTGGTGGTGGCGGGAACACCTGATTTGGCTCGAGGGTCGGATCATCTTGATGCTCAGGAACTAAATTGTGTAACGGAACATTTACACGATGACCTGGTCATGGACGGACTTGGCGTTATGAGCTCCATGAACTTGTAAGGGATAAGTACAATTCCTTAGCGCATGATAGTGCAAAAAGTCGTGCCGCGTTTGCGTTCGCGCGACTTGGGAACGAGCGTTCGTTTATGTTCTCTTCGTGATGAGCTTACCGCAGCTCGTCGAGACATCGTTCAGCTGCGTGAGCAGTTTGCTTCGCTAGTCGATTATACTGACTCGTTAAAACGGTCCCACTCGAAGGTGGTCTCGGCTCTTGACCGCAGAGGTGTTCTTCACCTTTCGAAACGGATCCTACGTTTTACGAGGCAGTTTAATCGAGTATGTGTTGCCCATACGGCGCAACGCACGAAAAGGACCGATACGCGTGGGCAGAATTTTCCGCTGCCCATGTTCGTCACTGCACGATTCGGTAAATTACTGTAGACAGTCAAACTAAATCTCCTTCATCAAATGAAAGAACATTTGCTCTTCCATGTTTGTCTGCGTTTCTTTTCTGTCTGTCTATTGCATCTGCAATCGAGTCTTGAACAGAGCGGACAACCTCTTCGCGACTCAGCAGAAATTTCCCTGCTGATTCATACTTGTCAACAGCAGTGCGCTACGTGTGCACTGCTGAAAGAACGTTGCATTCACCAGTGAAGGCGTCATCGTCCTCTCTTTGGCGGTCATTGGCGATGCTGAATATACCAGCATCGTCGTCGTCATCATCACCGATGTCGATGTGATCACATCGGCTCCATCACGTCGACACCATTGTCGACGTATGATGAGCAAGAACCAGATCGGTTTTTCTTCGAGCGAGTCCACCCCCCCCTTAAACTAGAGTCACACTCTAAGAAGGCGGGTAAACGTGGATGACGTAGGCCATTCACGAAGAATGGTGTATGCGTTGTCGAAGCGTGCACCGAGTTGTTGATGGCGAATTCCACCATCGGCAAGAGCTCAATCCAACTCGTAAACGAGTGGACATACCCTCGAAATATCTCTTCGAGGACGAGGTTGACGCATTCCGTTTGACCATCCATTTCGGGATGGTAAGAAGTTGACATCGTCAAGCGTGTTCCAAGTGAACGGAACACGGATTGCAAAAACTCCTCTGTGAAGCGGGGGTCCCTCTCGGACACGAATTCACGGAGTAACCCGTGAAGTCGGAAGATAGTATCAATTAAGACACGAGCACAGCCCTGGGCTGTGATTGACTCCTGTACAGCAACAAGATGTACCATCTTGCTGAACCGATCAACAAGCACAAGAATACCAGTAGTCTTGGGATAGTCTTTAAGATACCCGAAGTCGAAGTCCATCGATACGGGCTGCCAACAATCTGCCGGAATCGGGAGAGGCTGCAAAGGTGCGCGGGGTGAAGGACTAGGCTTCACCCGTTGACAAACTTCGCAAGCGCGAATTTATTTGCGCACAAGCTCAAACTGTTGGGGCCAGTAGAAGTCACGACTTACCGTGAGGTAAGTCTTTTCTCAACCGCGATGCCCACTTGATGGGGAATCGTGACACTCATACATGATGCACAATCGCAAATCACAATGAGCGGGAACGACGACACGAGGTGTGTCGCCGTTGGCTGCTATATAGTACAGCAGTCCATCACGAACAGAACACCGTTCGATTGAAGATTGGTTTTGAGACGTCAAGCTTTTCAAAGCTTGACTGCATGGATTAGACTCGTAATCCATCAATCGCAGAAGAGCCTAATCTTCTGCGAATGCTTTCCGCACGTCGTCAAGCATATTCGACGACGGATCTTTCACTGATAGTGTTGCAACAGTCGGATCACCCCTACTGTTAGATAGAGCGGTCGGCTCGACATCATTCCGGCGCGAAAGATCATCAGCGACGACATTAAGTCATCCTGGTTTATACTCGACGGAGAAGTTGTACTCCGCGAAGAAAGACATCCACCTCGCCATTCGTTGCGAGAGGTGTGGACTGTTTACGGCCGTGCGTAACGACGCATGGTCGGTATAAACGATGAAGGGCCATTCTACTAAGAGACATACCCAAAACTTAGCCAATGCATATTTCATGGCAAGGATTTCCTTGTCATGCGCCAGGTAGTTACGCTTAGCTGCTTGCAGCTGATTCGATCGGTAACAGACGACACGCTCAACGCCGTCTGAGTCGTACTGAATTAACGCACAGCCGATTGCAAAATCGCTGGCGTCACAGACCGCATGGAATGGTCTGTCCTGGTCTGCAATCGCCAACACAGGCGATAGTATCAAGCTTTACTTGATACCTTCAAAGGAGTGCTGACACTCAGCACTCCATGACCACCTCTCATTTTCCTTCAACAAACGAGAGAGATGTACGTTCATATCAGCGTAGCTGCGCGATTACTTGTGCTAGTACGCCGCCAAGCCAAAGAAATTTCAAATTCCCTTGACTTCGACTGGCACATGCCAGTTGCTAATCGCCTTGATCTTTCCGGATCAGGGCGTACAGCATTTTACCCACGATGCAGCCACGAATTGGTATTTCGTTCGCTGCGGTTATACACTTCTTGAGGTTCGCGAACAACTTATGCTCTCGCATTAGAGTAAGAACCTTCCGGATGTGGATTCTATGAACCTTCACGTCCGCCTTTCCATGCATAGCCCGGATATGGACGAAGACATCGTCAAAGTAATTCGGTGCAAAATCGCGCACCGATCGCAATAGATTCGTAACACATCTTTTGAACGTTTCAGGGGCGTTGCTTAGCCCCTGTGGCATCATTAGTCACATCCAGAGAATACCACTGGGGGAGCTCACTGCCTTGTACGGGATACCGCGTTCACGCATGAGAAGTTGATAGAATCCATCGATCAGATCCATGGACGAAAAGATGGTACTCTTTGCCGTACCATCTATGATGACGTCCTTCCTTGGTATCGGCGTCCGAGACGGTACCGTTGCAGCGTTCAGTTTGTTGAACGCGTGCAATATCCGCCATCCTCCTGTGGCTTTTCGCACAGAGAAAGTCGGAGAGCTATGTGGGGAAGTTGATTTCCTCACATGGCCCGCAGCTAAGCGATCGGCAAAGAACTTGTCGATCGCAAGTACTTGTTCACGAGGCAGTGGCCACTGCTTCATGACAAAGTATATCAAACCGGGTTTCAGCTCGATCTCATGCCGAGAGTGCCTTTGTCCTTTGGCAGCTCGCATGGAACGGATTCCGGAAAGCATCCCTAAATTCGACCAGATTATTATACATAGGATTCGTCATCAAAGACTCCCAGGATTGAGACGTGTATCGCTCAATCCGGGTCTTCTTTTCGCGGACACTCTCATCCATCGATGAGCTACTGAGAACCCGTTCACTCTCATCAAACACTTGTGCCGACCGAATATCGGCGACGTACTCGTCCTCTGTGACGAGTACGCAGATCTGCTTGATCTTGTCACTACGCATCTCTCGCAAGAATCTGTTAAATTCTAGCGTTGGCAACTTGACCACCTCCGAAGCTGACTTCGGGGGCGTCACCAGATCAAGTGTATAAGCGCCTACACTTGATCCTTCATTTAACAAGACATTCACTGTCTCGGTAATTTCCTGGGAAACACATCCGCAGATGGTTGGGGATCCATACCCTCAACATAACCATCTCGGGAGTTATCTTTCTCAGGAATGCTGGAATTTTCTTCTATTACGTGCACTATCACGGTCACGTCCTCTTCGACCGACTCTCTTTTAGTCGAGCGGGCTTGCTCTACGATCGACTCTCTGTGAGTCGATCTCTCTTCAACGTGTTGTTCAGGATGAACAACACGCATCTTTCTACTTGGATGCACCCTTCTTGGTGTGCATACGTGTTCCAATCCACTCGATCTCTTCGAGTGGTGAACCTTCGGCGCAGCCTGTGTCTCTACACAGGTGCCGGAAGCTGGTTCCACAGTGTAGTGGCCTTCTACACTGTAATCTTGTGCAATCGTACTAACGACCGTACTACAAGTGAGGCCATCTCACTAACTTGTAGTACATCCACACGCTTGTCGACACTCCAAGACGTTCATCATATGGCCATCTGACGAGAAAACGGCAGGCATTTCACGGATCGATGCTGCCAGCTAACCCATGGCCGGTGCCTGCTAATTCATTGCAGACAGAGGATGACATCAAGTTTGTCATCCAAAGCTAATGCGAAAAAGTCATCATCGTACTGCTTCCATTCCAGCGTGTAGTGGATTTCTACTACACGTTTGCTCATTGTTACAGATGCGCCTGTAGAAAGGCACACCGTCATCCTTGTTGGAGGGAACTCTCGCTCAACAAAGTCGAGCCTACTATCCCCTAGCAACTGGCGTCTAATAAAACTGTTCGACGCCCCACAGTCAACTAGGGCGCGAAGTGATATTCCACGTGTCACTTCAATCTTCAAAGTGATGAGGGACACCTAATCACTAGGGGCAGTAACACAGAGCGCCTGTGTGTTGGGAGCAATCTTCGTCAAGGGTCCTGCGAATTCTCTTGAGGTTGCTGGATCAGCAGGGTGCTCCGCCCCTACTGACCTTGTCCGTTCTTTGGCGGTCCGACTTGCTGTCGCGGCTTAGCGACATGGTCGAACCCACGCCTTGGACCTTTCCTTGGCCAACGGTGGTCATCACGTCTTGTCTTTGGACGCATTGCGGTACTTGGGACACTACACTCCTGAGCGTAGTGCCCAATCTTCTGACAGCGATGGCATCTTGCCGTTTGCTTGTGACTCAGAGAGCGAGAGTTCTTGCTCTCGACATACTAGAAGTCCATAGGTTCGTGACTTCCTGTTTTTGGTCGCCTCGTCGGATGATAGTTGGACGAGTTAGCCTGAGACTGTCTCAGGCTGAAGTCTTCTTGTTCCGCATACGCTATCGCCCTTTCCAGCGTATGGAAGTCCTCTCGGAACATGTAGGTCTTCACCGGCCCATCCACAAGGCCGTAGATGAACATTTGATGAGCGTGTGCTCATCAACAGGGTTCTCCGTAAAGCTACTCGCAAGGTAGCGCAGGTGCTGTGCGTAAGCGTGCACGTCACGTTTACCCTGCTTGACCCTCAAGAGTGCAGAGCGTGCTCTGGACTCGGCTCTCGGCGGCTCAAACGTCTCTTTAAGCCGAGATTTCAAGATCTCCAATGACTAAAACACGTTTGGGTCGTGAAGGTTGAGCCCTAAGGCCCAAGTCTTTGCTCGTCCCGTCAAATTTGACAGGGAGAAAGTGACTTGCATCTCGTCAACCTCGATGTGACGGGCCCTGATGGCGTCGTCTAACTCAACAAATTATCTCAAAAGGGAATCTTCATCGGTTCACTTATACCTTGAGATGTCAATCTTTAAGGTTTCGGGTCGACGTATGTGCATCGGCCCGCTTATCGACTGATGAGATCCTTGCTGTTGTAGTAAGGCTATCTTCTCTCTTTCGACGGCAAGTTCCCATTGTAGGAACTTGTTGATAGCAGCATGTTGCTGGTCTCTGTTTAGAGACTCCAACATGCCACTGATGGCGGGTTCGCCCATAAGCACACTCATGCGGCCGACTACCTCCCATTTTGAGTCGCTCATAGGGAGTAGCCTTCACGTGGGACGTGAAAGCTGTCGTCTTCTACATCCAGCATGTTCATGTTGGACGGACACTGAGCAGTCGTTGGACGAACTACGAAGTGCTACCAGTTGTAACGGGGCACCCTTTGTTTGGGGTGCCGCGAAACTTCACGTGCACTAGTACGTGCAGAGGAATCTAATCTACTCAACAGCTATGTTGAGCAAAGGGTAAAAATAGAACTGTATTTGATGTAGCTAAGCTATCAATGTAACTTTAATCTTTATCTAACTATATTAAAGTACGTCTTGGTATAACGAAAAGCTGCTCATCACTCATTGCGCGCGTCTAGCGGCTATTGGTGGCAGTCTATGATTGATATATCTTTTATCAACCAATCTTTGAGCAGCAAATGAAGATTATCCAAAAGGGGATAATGTTTCTTTAAAATTATCCATCTCGGATAATATCGGTAGAATATTGTTATGCTGGACAAAATCCCTATTGACACCGTTGGTGTCAATATCATGTAACGGGCTACCCCGTTACAGGCATCGTACCGAAACTTCTGTATATTGCTCGCCACGTTTGTCCAATGACTGCTACATTCATTGTCATGCAGCAGTAAATCAAAAAATACGCATGGCATGGTATATTTAAACAGCTAGACAGGACATGTACAACGTGGCTTACTGAAACAGTCACTTGTTTGTCTCGACCGGAGGGAGGTATGCCATTTCCAGACTTGCGGGCTGAACTGCTAATTGTGGCGGCGGTGACAGTAATTAAGTGGTGCGAGGATCCAGCAGGATGTCAGCAGCTGCTTGGCAAGTTTCTAAGTACAGACGATATGGTAGGCGGTGCACAGCCAGTTTACGTTTTTCTAGAAACCACTGGGAGACTACATGCGGGATTCAAACAAAAGGAACATTATGGACGGCTGGGGGGAAGGTCCTGGATGCATATAGGCTGATGAGCTGTCATCCCATTTTAGTAGACGGTATGATTAATGCATACGAGGCGGTAGAGATAGTCTTGCCTCGTAAGATGGTGTTGGACGCTGGTTGCTGCACGATCGACGTCACGTCACCACTTGGATATGAATTACAATCTCTATGGAGTCATATAAAGGCACATTATGACCCACTCAACCTTTCTGATTTCATCTCGTAAACATGGCAAAGTATGGGCTACCCAAGGCGGACGAATCGATTTATAATGGGCGAATTTAATTAAATTTAGAACTAGATCATTCGTGCTTGGAAATTTCCTCCGATGGTGTAAAACGTGTCGGACATCAATTTTTTCAAGAGGCGACCGCATGGTGGAAGCCGACCATACACGAGATTTTTGTTGCACTAATTGCGAAGTTTCCGGAGATAGTCGTGGATCAAGGACACCCCGAGTCGATCGATATCGGTACTGTTCCAGCCGAGAATCCTTTTAAAGCGACCGTTGGGCACACGATTATTGCAACCGGACAAGTACTGCTGACTGTGAATTTAGGCTCCACCTATCAGGCGATTTCGCTTCTGGTGACTTCTTGCACGGAAGCTATCGAGGCTCTTCTAAATTATAACAATTTTTTTGTTACAGAATCATCAGTCTCTCCCCACACCCTGTCTTCAGTCGTACGCCTTTGTACCCGATAAGATGGCACATCAGGATCACGCCGTTTTAATAAGGCGCATGCATTCACACAATCCGCAGGCATGGCTTGCAAGAAATCACCAATCGTGGACTTGCGTGAATTGATGATGATATGATCATCGGTACCTCTTTGGCCAACATGGTATGGGAAGACATCTATCGTATCAGAGGAGGGACGTTGTGGGCAGTTTAATGGGGCACCCTGAAGCTTGTACTGGTGACAGTACAAGCTACTTATTCTGATGACAGAATAAGGCGGTGCCTCGGAACTTCACGTACACTGGTACGTGCAGAGGAAGACGATAAGGAGAAGAGAGTACTTGGTAAAAGTAAAAAGTAGAACTGTTTTTATCATAGTTAATGTCTGCAAAAAATCACTATTTATCTTCATCTAACTATGTCTAAATACAAATGTGTAAATCAACTATCTGCTCACCACTCATTGCGTGCGTCTGTCGTGGCGCGTCTTCGTTGGTTGATATAATGGCCTATATCAACCAATTAGGAACTACTCGTAAGTGCTACAGAATATTTGTCCTTATGACAATATTCTGAGAATATAACTCTTATAGTTCTATTAACAATTTCTTATAAATTGTTATGTAACGATCCACCCCGTTACATCACCCCCCCTTAACCATCAGTCACTTTAGTGACTGATTGACTAAATGGATACTCGTTCCAAATCATTTGGGACAGGGTTTGCACTTGTTGGTCCGCGTCCACTTTCCAACATTTCATCGCATGGTAAACAAGCCCATGCGATGCGCGAGAAAGGCCGCCGAGAGCGCGTCCGCACGTCTCTGTGCGGACGCCGAAGCAGAAACCACAGCAACTGATGTCTCATCGGTTGCTGAAGCGACCCAGCCTGTGTCACTTGGTGATGCAGGCGTTGGTCATGAAGACACTCATGTCTTCACAGAGTACGAGCTCGGTGTCTCGTACTCTCCTGATACGGAAGACGGATCCGTATCGACGGCGATTGAATCTAAGCCGCCTGCCAAGCGTGGCATGGATGATGCTTTGCGTCGTAGCATCTTTGGTTCATCTGATGAATCAGATGAACCATCGCCAAAGCGAAGGCGCTCGAGGTCGCGAGACTCGGGCTCTAACAGTGGTGTCGGTTCTCCTATGGACACCACTTCGCAACGAGGTGCCAGTACTTCTGTCGGCACATCGCAGGAAGAGCGGGATCGCAATGTCTTGCGTCTCGCTCCCGAGAAGAAGGCATGGATGGCTCCAAAATCCGT